GTACTTTTTTCATATTGTATTTAAAGACAAAGATTACAATTTTTAAGTTTTAATATATCGTATCACACTTCAATTTATGTAACAATCGAATGCAAAATCCATGACGTATAAAAAAAACATGGCTTTTCTTACAAATTACGAATATATACATTAAAAATTAAAAACAAATACAGTATAACAGTTAAAGGCTGACAACTTACGCTGTACAATCAGAACATGTTGCACTAAAAATAATAAATATTAATAGACCTCGAATGATATTTTGTATGATCGGAATTTATGGCAAGTAGTCGAGAGTCATTAAACTAAACTATCGTAATCTTTATGCCATAGAAATATGTTCTGTAAAATAGACGTGCTTCAATAAATTTTAATAACATTCTAAATATTTATGTATGGATTTTAAAGATATTAACTTGACGTCTGGATATGGCTGCTGTGATTTGTTTAAACTGATCGTTTAAAGGATTATGATATTAGTTACACGAGTCATAAGTGTCGATCGATCATTTGTTATTCTCATACTGTTATTCTAACTACCTATGCTCTAAAATCTCTTATTTATGTTAGAGGAGAATAATAACAGACTACTTTAAAATTAACACAGACTAAATATTTATTATTTATTTAAACCCCTAAAATATATTGTATTTTGTAAATTATTTTTATTTTATTTTTTTACTATTTTAAAAGCTCCTAGAAAACTTTATGTAATCTTTTTCTAAGCTAGTTTTATGAGTTCCACCTTTAAATGGTAACAAACAGTTATTATTACTTTATATTACGGTAATTAGACGTTTATTTCTGCTTGGTTTTGTATATTTTTAAACCAATCTTTCAACTTCTTCAAAGAATATGATAAAAACTTTTATAATCAATTCATTAACTTACATGTTCAAAAATATGTTATACAACCATAGATATTATTAAAATATTATACATTGTAACAAATGTGTTCATGCAATCTAAGAGCCATGTAGGGCGAACGTGGTGTGAGTTGTAATAAATCGAATCTACATTAAATATAAGTGGACCGCGTTTTAGACTTCATAAATTTTTATGAGGCTCGATAAATAGTAGTAAATTTTACATTTAATGTTTATAAGACCTTCATATATTGACTTCATTCATATTATGTCATTTTCAAAGAACAATTATATTTGTTTTTATCATTATATTATGATATCCATTTAAAATATACTTAATTCCGTTATTTACTAAACATACTCACAACTGCTCTCATGAACATGAACTAGCAGCAGCCACTTACCCTCGCTTCGTTCAGGTGTAGTCCTAGGTGTCAAATAATAGTCTATGAGTCAAATAATTTAGCTTTGCACTAAACTTTATCCAAATCTGTCCAGCCTTAATTAGAAAGAATGCGAACAATTATAATAGTCTGATAAGTATACTGTATAAGTATTTGGTTGCTTAATATTTCTAACTCAGACAAACAGACTGTAGAATTTTATGGCATAATTATATTTCATAGACTAATAGAGTAAAATATCACAGTATACTGTACATTAAGTAATTGCCGTGATATTTTCGTATAATTCAAATACATAAATATATCTCATAAACTACATACATACATACATATGTACGTAACAAACGACATTTATTTTCAACAGTAAAACATTCAATTGAATAAGAGAATTAAAAGTTTCTACATGTAATATATATTAAGCGCAATCTCTAGGCACTATGTAGGTCAAACGTGGCTCGAGTGACAATGTATTGGGTCTAGATTAAATGTAAGTGCTTAGACTTGTAGCCTTAATAAATAAACACGAGCTTTTGTACACTTTATCGTATATCTATAAGAACTTAGAGAGACGCTATAAAATTGTATAGAGAAAATTAAAGTTTATAATTTAAATCATATATTAATACACTTCATAAAGCTTAAAACAAAGCTTATTTTAATATATAAATGAAAATATATAATATCAAATCTAATATCTAGTCTTTAGCATTATTATCTAAGAAAACAAAAGTTTCCGTGACTATCGAATAACTGTCAAAAATATCTTAAAGTTGTATAATATCGATTATGTTACTATAAAAAATAAGGCACTCCGGGAAAAGGTTCATCATTAGAATCCAAACTTTGAAATAAGATAAATCATTTTAAATAATAATACATCAAAAAGTTTATAAAGCGTATTAATAAATACAAATATTTCCAAGAAGAGTTGCAAACAAAAATAAAAAGCTATTATAATTTGTTTTAATAACCTTACATCTGATTTTATTATTGATAAAAGAAAAAAAAGCTTAAAAAGTCCTAAGTAAAAGCTTTTTTAATTACCGCGCATCGATTCTGAGATCGTTATCGAATCGAATGAGACAGCTTCATCGTAACTCTTGATTGGTTGAGAAGATAATTTTGGGCCGAAATACTTTAGTCTATAAATTTTGTCCCCGTAATTGAACGTAATGGAATCGTATGGATCTTCAGGTATTTTAAAAGATACGATTATAATTCAACGATAACGAAACGACAGATAAATGAACTTTAAAGAGACTGTATATCTCTGAACTTTTGATCATGTTATTATTTTTTAACCGGCAACTTACACTTTACTCGAGTGCGTCCCTAGGTAGGTAACCTGTAACCTATTACATATTAGTTCCTTCAAGTCATAGTTATGTGTATACTAAAATTTTATCCAATCTGTGCAGACGTTTAAGTGTGAAGGACTATACAAAGATACATACATACACCCAACACACACACACACACACACACAAACACACACACACACACACAAACACACACACACACACATATACTTATACATAAACTTTTGTTTTTTTTATTAAAGTAGTTCGATTAACTAAAAGTTTTGATTCTGCCACAAAATTATGGAGCTTATTTACTAAATCACCATTTATATAAGCAACTATTTGTGTATTTGTAAAACCCAATTAGCCGCTTCCAACCAATAAAGAAACTTTCGCAAGAAAAACTTTGGAAGTGCGTGAACAGAATATCGGCTTTAGAAAAGGACGCGCACATCTCAAAAACACTTATCTAACTAATAAAAATGTTGACTAAAAACGTATCTCGTCCCATAGTTTCCTTTCACGGCACCGAATTATACAAAAAATTAGTGGTTAAAATGCGCCGCGAGACCAATCGTAAAGTTTAAGACGATGACATAAATAATATTAAAGCCCGTTGCCAGAAACTCAATGCCTATTTCATTTGTAAGCAATAAAAACTCACATTCAGTTTTCGTTCAGAAATTTTATACTCAACGATATTGCACCTTAAATTTTAGACGCAACGATGCTTCCCGTTGCTTCGGCATACCTTGTTATTTTGGTATATTCCACTTTATAGCCAAACTCGTAAAATGTTAAAAGCTCATCACACAGGTGTACATTTTGTAATAATATCATTTTTAATTCGTTGTAGGTGAAATAATTTTTCCATTTAGAATTTCTGTGATATCGCAATAAAAGTTTTCGAGCTTTCGCGAGAAAGTTAGTAATTTATGCAGCTTTTGTTAAGTTTAGGAATATTTCGCGAATGATATACTGCGCTTCAACTGAACCTTCTTAAAACAAATCCTAATATAAATGTATTTAGACCGCGCTACAAGATTTTTATCCCGATTACAAATTAAAAAAGCTTTAGCGGACGGCAATAATATAAAGCTTTTATTTAAATTCCTCGCAAAATTGTTTTGCTCTATTTAGATTAAATTTTCTTTGAGCTTTTCGCTTAAGTAACATTTATCCTAACAGTTATACCTTTATAATAAGCTTCATAAAAAATGTAACGAAATATAAACACTCATTTAGAATGCTATTTAGAACTGAGAAACAAAAACGGTTCACGAAAGTTCATATAAAATTCTGTGATTATTTCATTGCCAAGCAAAAAAAACCAGGCGCCAGATTAATTAAATACTGTTGACTTGTTAAAAACCGGAGAATATTTTACTGGTCATTAGCTTTTGGCTTGTTGTTGTTTGTGAAATTTCCAACGTAAATAAATTTTGTTTTCACTTTTGGAATTCCTTATAGGAAATACGAAGGCCTTTATTATGAGATCAAAAACTCTTTATGTTAACAATATTCTGAATACCATTTATTATTAACGTTATTATAAGAAAATTGTTAGTTTTTGTAGATATTTGCTATTTTTTTCTTATATATGTAGATTTACATACATGTATATAGAACGTCAGAGTATTAGTAGAGCGATACGGGTTCGATTCCTGCGAAAAAAAATCTTATTGACAATCAGGTTTATTTGAATTAAATATTTCATCGTCAATCTCCTGAAAAGACTTGTGAATTTATTATTTGACTATCAATCCCGGCAGACGTTATTCTGCAGCTGCCGTTTCGTTGCAAAATAAAAAAGTCTGGATCTCAGCAATAATATCACCTACCGGGTCCAACTCCAGTAAAGGTATAGCAAGCACAAAATTCACCAAAATTGGTAAAGCCTATCATACAAAACTCATATAAAAAGTAAAGGAAAAATGACAAACACATGTACAATGAAATCTTATACAAGTTATATATATATAACTAGCATTGCCCGCGGCTCCGCCCGTGTTCAGATGACCAAAAACCAAATTCTTGGGTTTTACATATTAGTATACTCTTACATTTCAGTTTTTGTATTTTTTCTCAGAAATGAGATATTTTCCCGCGGTAGAAAGTATCCTATATGTTGACCCGGATAACCAGCTATCACTATACCAAATTTCATCAAAATCCCTCCAGTGGTTTTTCTGTGATGCGGTAACAGACAGACAGACAAAAATTGTAAAAACTATAGATTCAGCCTCTGTATCCATAATAATGTCTATTTCAATAACATTTTCCAAAAAATATTTAATGTACATATTCGGCTTAGGTACAATTTTATTATATGTATTGAATATATAAAATATTATTTAAAAAATTTACATGTCTACATTTTAATTGTTTTTAATTTTAACTTAAAAACTAAACAATATTTATTTCAACAGTTGCTGCACACAGTGATATACCACTATATATCGGGATCGCGGTAGCAGTGGTTGTGTTCCTGGCAGGCGCGGCTGTAGTGTACAAGTTATTGCAGAGGAAAACCAGAGACCACTCGCTTTATACAATGACTAGAACTGGTAAGCTACTTAATCAAATATTTTTATAAGAGTATATGTTATATTTCATTTATTAATTTATTATAATATTAAGATTTTGATACTAAAATATTGTAACATAAACTTAAATTATAACTGATATCACTAAATCTATACTTTTGTCTAGATTTTCAACCAGAAATGTACCCAACGGTAGAAAAGCAGTCGTTATCACTCGCACCCGACCTGATGCAGCACAGACCTCCAAGATATGAGCATCCACAGCCAGATCCAAGAACTGAACACCATTATGATGTTCCTCACCTCACTAATAGGTATAGTATATTAAAAATAGACTAACTTCTTCAAAATTAGATTTCAGAATACTTTACTCAACTCAAAATTTTCAAACAACGTGGATAAAAATATCCTAAACCAGTCAGTAAAAAAGTAACTAACTTAATGAAAACAATTTATATGAGTGGTCACCTTAAGGATGATAACTTATAAAAAAACTAATCATGTATAGCGATTGACAATTAGCGAAGATCGTGTATGGAAAAAGAAAACAACACAGACTAAGAAATACTAAGGAAAAACTGATCATTAAAATCGGTCTGCAATATTACATTACCCCTTTTCTGAATCCTTATAATAATTATTAGTACTTAATTCAAAGTCAAAAATTATTTTAAAAACAAGTTATATAGTAAATCTAGCATTGCCCACGACTCCGCCCGCGTTCAGATGACCAAAAACCAAATTCTTAGGTTTTACATATTAGTATAATCTTACAATGCAGTTTTTGTATTTTTCCTCAGAAATGAGATATTTTCCCGCGGTAAAAAGTATTCTATATGTTGACCCGGATAACCAGCTATCATCATACCAAATTTTATCAAAATCTGTCTAGTGGTTTTCTCGTGATGCGGTAACAGACAGACAGACAGACAAAAATTCTCAAAAAATTATAGATTCGGACTCTGTATCGATAATAATGTCTATTTCGATTAGATTTTCAAAAAAATATTTAATGTACAGATTCGACTTAGTTACAATTTAATTATATGCATAGATATCACTAAAGATATTTAAAAGCTCAAATCTTTACAGTTACGCGTCACCTGTCGACCATCAAGTAACTCCATGCGCTTCGAGCAAGGGGCAGAGTGATGAATATGACAGCAAACCGTATACTGAATCTGAACACTCCGCTTCCAGTTGCTTTACTAGTTGTGAGTATACACATGATTTATAATTATAGTCTTTTAATATTATAAATCATGTATTTAGACCAGCTCTATAGTAATCTAGTAATTATCTAACTGCCCCAGGACATGGGTTCGATTATGTTTATGTACTGCGTATGTACAATATTTTCTAAGTAGCTAATTCCAAATAGGTATATTATATTTCTTTGACATGACATATGTATAACAATATTTTATTTTACATAACCATACTAGCATTGCCCGCGGCTCCGCCCGCGTTTAGATGACCAAAACCAAACTCTTAGGTTTTACATATTTAATATACTCTTACAATGCATTTTTTGTATTTTGTCTCAGATATGAGATATTTCCCGTGGTAAAAAGTATCCTATATGTTAACCCGGATAACCAGCTATCACCATACCAAATTTCATCAATATCCCTCCAGTAGCTTTTCTGTGATGCGGTAACAGACAGACAGACAGACAGACAAAAATTCTAAAAACTATAAATTCGGCCTCTGTATCTATAATAATAACTATTTCAATAAGATTTTCACAAAAAATATTTAATGTACAGATTCGGCTTAGTTACAATTTTATTATTTGAGATAACCATATAAATGTTAAGGTTAAATAAAGTTGTTAAAATGACTTTTTTTTTAAATCTAATCAGTAAACATATCGTATTACCAATTTATAAAAGCTTTCTTTCTAGCCGGCTCAATGTATGACGCAGCTAACGAATCTGTAACGCTACAACTAGCGGAACTCGTGTCGAACTCGCCTATATCGCAATCACTGTCGATATCGAGTGCAGGGGCGAGATTAGCTTTACCGGCTGCCGGTGTTGCATTGTCGATCCCAGAAGGAGCCCTTAGTAGGGGAAGGAGAGAACAAATTTATGTGGCGGTTGTGAAAGATGACAGATACAGATCACGATTGGGAAAAGGTAATTAATGGGTTTTTTTTATTCGTATAAGTACTAGTTTGTAGCCGCGGAACCTTTCGTGGTAGAAAATACGTCGATAAATATACCATATCCGTTAGCACCTTCAGGTACATTTCTAAGAAATTAATTAAATTTCTAAGAAATATATTGTTAACTGTAACGCCGGCGTGTCCGCGGTCGTAGAGGGATTTATCTACTCGTAGTTCATTCATTTTAATCTGTTGCATTGTAACAAATACATACAAACACTCTCAAATGTTTTTGCATTTAAAATATTAGTGTAAATAAAGATATAAGCCATCCCACATTAGCTCTAAAATCCACCGCTAATATAAGTGGAAAGTACAAAAAACTATAATAGAAATCTTAAAATTCATTCCAGCTGCACATCCTATGCGAAACTGTAGATAATTTATTAACTTAACAGCAAGTTGCAGCTTTAATATATTTATATCAATATACGTACAGTACAAAATACCTTACCATCATCAGTTACACAACACAGTATAACCTCGCAGCTACCGTCTCTTTTGATTACCATTGTAACGATAGGCTATTATTTATGAATGCTTTTAGAATATATAAGCAAGTTTCTTTTCCTAAGCATTATACAAAGTCGTTAATAGAAGAATCAATAAATCGTGAAGTTCAATTATAATTTCTTTTGCAAACTTTAAATATATTTAATAACTAGTTCAAATTCTTATTTTAATCTTGAATCAATAATTGCTACTTTGAAATTGACTATAAACGAAAATTGCCAATCTTCTACGCTCGTAAGATTGCTTTAGATAGTATCTTGTATTAAAAATTAAAAATAAACCTAGACTTAAACTATAAAGTCTAAACGAATAACCGTCTATGTAATTACAATAACAAAAAGAAACGCGTAATTTATGCAATGTAATATCCAGCGAGCCTAAGGCGGATAACCATACATTTTGTTAAAACAATTTTTTGCCCGCAGGTATCACGCAACTGAGCCCAGTAGTTAAATGTGGTCCGCCACGTCTCCAGCTTAATAAGTCGGTTGTCCTTCAAATTCCACACTGCGCTAGTCTCAAACATGGTTTTTGGAATCTCGCTTTGTACGCGATCGACCATAACACAGCAAAGACGGACACACATCCACAGTGGAAGAAAGTCGTTAGTCTCGGTCAGGAGACGATAAACACGCCAGTTTTCACGCAATTGGACAGTGACAAAATATTCCTCGTTACGGACATGCTTTCTACATTTGTTCTTGTCGGTGAAAGCTTCAACGGAAAAGCGGTTAAGACACTACAATTAGCCGTGTACGCACCTGCGTCATTAAGTGACACTTGTACCGAATACACTATACGGTTGTATGTTTTTGAAGATACTCCATGTGCACCGTATTATTGTCAAGAGCAAGAGAAGAAATTGGGTGGTATTTTGTTAGAACGCCCAAAAACTTTTCTATTCCAGGACGGTGGATCTAATTTATGCTTGAATTTGGAACATTTAAGTCCTGGTTGGAAAACTAAACCGGGTATAGCGTATCAAGAAATACCATTCAACCATGTTTGGGGATCGAATTACAACGCTTTACACTGCAGCTTTAGTTTAGAAAGGACTTACGACTGTGACACTATAGATTTTAGTATCTCAGCATGTCAAAGAACAAACCCGTCATACAAACAGACGTTTCGAATATCGATAGATGATTTACGAAGCCGATCGCCCCGTGGTCGATCACCACGTGAGTCCCAACGAAGTTTTAACATAACAGAAAACCTCCTTGAATCTAGAATGTGTAGGAGCGACGACGGAAGCGATGCGAAACGCAATGTGACTGTTAACGAAACCGGTGTAAATGAATGTGCGGAGAGTCCGTTTAAATTAAGCGTTCGTGTTAAGAGGCAGCTATGCGCCATACTTGATCCCCCAAACGCTCGCGGTAACGACTGGCGTGCACTTGCAGCGAGGTTGGGAGTGGATCGTTATACAACGTGGTTCGCCACAAAGAGCTCGCCAACTGAAGCTATTTTGGAGTTATGGGAGTGTAGGGAACGCGGGCCCGGCGCGACCGCCGCCTTGGCTGCGGCTTTACGTCAAATGGATAGGCACGATGCGGCAGACTTACTACATGGACGACCCTCATGGTTATGAATTCCTAACTAAATTTGTGTTCCCAGCTTTCTATGACTTTTAAAATTAAATGTCTTAAATTAATATGTAATTCAATAATAAATGTATGAAAATACATAAATAATAATAAACGAAGCTCGTATTTGAAATTTGGGGTAATATACTTGGCAGCACTATGCACGAATGAATGTTGAATACAATGTATTACGTACGTTTGTTGGTAAGTATGTAGATTAAATGTTATTTAGAGAAAATAGTTTTTGTAGGCGATTGGCCTAATTTGTAAAATCGTGGTAGCTTATTTTTAAAGCTATATGCTGTAGATAAGCGGAGATAAATTATATAGTAGCAATAATAGTGCCTAATGTCTTATAAAGAATATTCAACGAACATTGTTGATTCACAGTTGTTTTGTTATTTTTTATAATATAAGTGTATGAGTGTTCATTGTATCGCAAGTATATCGCTTGGTTCATTTTTGTTTGCTTTTGGATATATCGTTTAAATGATTTAGAAAGTGCCAAATTAATACAGTTTGGCAAAAACCCACAATACTGAGCTTAAAATCGAAAAATAGTTTAGTATCTTCTTTCTAACTAGTAAGAGACTTAAGTCCAATGCATTTATCTACTTAAACGTCACTGCCTACAATTATCCTAGCCAAAAGATTTCAACCAAGTCTGTATAAATCTATAAACTTATTGTTTTTCTAATAATTTTAAATGTAACTTAAGCTTTTTCACGTGTATATCTGTAAGAATGAAACTTAATCAAATATAACCCGTATATAATTATAATTGGTAAACAAATATTTCGTACAATTTGTACCTTATAAGGTAACAAAAATCGATTAATTTTGTACTATAACTACTGTATGCATAGCTGTAAGAAACTCGAAATATTTTGGCTGGGAGTATTTAAAATATGAGTCACATATAACATTTCTTAACATATGTATATAAAGGAATAGATTGTAAATAATTGTATCGCATTTTACACGTAGTATTGCAGAATATGATAGAAGAAAAAAACCATGATTTTGTATGTGAAATTGTCACCACTGTAGACTATATATATTTTTGTTAACGTGATGACTATTTAAATAAATGGATCTGTGATAATTAAAATAATATGAAATAAATTATGTTTAACTGTGAGTTTGTTTCTTTTTATCATTAACCTTCTAGTTCCCTATAAGTATAAACATATTTTAGTATTATAAATAAACTTAGATATTGTTGAAAAATTCAATTCAAAAATAACTTAATGTGCGTTATAATAATAATATATTAATATAATAATAATATATCAATATATAATACTCTATAAGGAAACCAAACTTGCTACAATGTCTTGGTAATTAATGGTTTCAAAGGCAAGCGCTACTCTCTATTTTTTAAACTTTCATAAACACTGCCCTAAATTTCAAATAACAAACACAATTATCATAAATATTCTATGAAATTAACATAGAAGATTATTCTTTTTTTACTTATTCAAAGTCACAAAATACATTATAAGCATGAACTAACATCAAAAAGCTTGTCAACGTGAGCTTCGAGTAAAACTCATGGGGTCGACAGGCGAGAAAATTCCTAAATCGACCGTGAACATACTAACATATTGTAACATTCCCATAGTAAATGTTAAGTTTAGATACATTTTGGGAACGATTTTAATTTGTTTTACCATCTTTGTGACATTGTGGGTTAAATATTTCACTGGCATTGCCTTTATTGGATGTTAAAGGACCGATACTCCTAAAAAGCAAAAGTCGAAGCTCTTTATGCTAATCGAAAACATAGCATATCTCCATTCCGAAATTTACTCAAAGTAGTGTTCAGTTAGTGGTCAAAATTTGACCATATTCATTTTTTTATTAATACAACTAAATTTCATCACAGGCTTTTTAAAAAAAATAAAAAAAAAACGATTTAAAAACAGAAGAGAAAAAGATACTGAACGTTTTGTGATTTCCCATCGATATTAAAAATCTATCTGTTCCCAACAAAATACTTTCTTAGATTTACGCGAATATTTGACATTTTTAATCAAACTATCTTTTCGGATTTTTTCGCGGATTTATTTTGATTTTTGGTTCCCGACGTTTCGAATGCTTTAGAGCAATCATGGTCACGGGAGAGACTGAGGTGTTAGATGTCTCGAAGGTATAGTGGTTACAGACAGCCTACCCACAAATAACAAAATTAAAATTGCATAAATTACCTTACAATTTTGTATTGCAATAACATTTTACTGATAATACTAAAGCTCTTCAAAAGCTTAAAACACAAAGAAATCGGTTGACAAACAAAAGAGAAAAATGTACCAAACTGTTCTGTATTTGCCTATTTATGTATAGATCCACAGAGCTGTTACATCGCAAAGCAGTAACAAGTACACATTTATAATATTAGTGGAATTAGTAGGATATTAGCTTTAAAATAATACTTTAAATAAGTAAACGCGTCAATTACTCGATATTCTCCAAGTACTCTCAAGAGCAAGATTGCAAAATGAAGACAATTTAAAAATCATATAAAACATGGATATAATTTCAAATATATATATATATATATATATATATATATATATATATATATATATATATATATATGTATTAAAACTTTAAACTTTATAGCCAATATTTTAATAGTATATGCCCAATTTGATATTTCGTTTAAGTTTAACAATCTCGAAATAGAGTGTATTTTGCTTGAAGCTTTTTATATAATAAATATTAACTGGACATATCGCGATCGTAACTTATTATTTTCGGTCGTTTTGACAGGATTGCACCTGTCGTGGTCACGGGCCCGTGAAAACGTTGATATTCTTCAAAATTTCCAATTAATCGTATCAAAAAATAAATAAAACAGAAAGCTTTTACGAGTATTTTTAACATTATCATACAAGAGGGGAATATTTTTTGTATATATATACTACCTATAGGTCGACGTTATTTGATAATTTTTAGAATTGCTAAATTGATTTTCAAAGCTAATACTCGTAGAGTATTAGGTTATATTTTATCTATGTACTATGTAAAACTTGTTACATAAATTTTGGATATATTATGTAAATACTAATTATTTATCATATTACAGTATTTTATAGCTAATGGCTTAAGTGTTTTATTTGCTCTCTGTACACTTAGTACCTGGGCGACCCAACTACACTCGGCGGTTTACGGACAAAATGAAACAAATGCGTTTTTAAGAAAAATTTTAATAGATAAGCTTAAAAAACAAAATCTTATCTAAATATGAAATCTCATCCAAATCATTAAAGCCGTTTCTGAGATACATAAAATAAAATTATACAAGAATTGCTCGTTGAATATAATAAGATTTTTTAGATTAACTAATTCACTTCCTTAGGCTGAAAACCTTTTTTACGTCACGTTACGTACACTTAAGAACCTCGTTCATTACAAACTAATTTTCCGTTTTAAAACTATTGAAATAAACAAACGATCCGTATTATAATGCAAATAGTAGTGAGCAGGTGTCGCTCTGTTATTTCACACATCAGGGCAGTGACTAATCGACCCCCGTATGGTGGTAGTAACAGCGATCTTAGCAAAAAAAAAAATTGAAAACCGTGTTTGTACTACACGGTTTAAAAATAATATTATTTATATATGATAACAACTCTGTGCTGAATTACGAGGATATTTTTTTCATATTTTTTAAATTACCAGTGACAAACAAACATACATCCTATTAGTAAGCGCTTATATTTGAAGACATCAAATACTTTGCGTGGACATCGAACTTACGATATATGGCGTATTCTGCACTTCTCAGTTGACGAATTACTGTACCAAACTATGTATTTTGTATAGTAGTATACTTAAATATAAAATGTATCTTTAGTTGTGAACCTCAAGCGTTTCTTAAATGTTATTTCTGTCAGATATAAATTATTTTAAATGCATATACTTTTAAGTATTTAAATATAATGTTTATACATAAAAATACCATTCCAAGTTTTATAACTAAGTAAGCTAATCAATTTTTCTATGGCCATTAATTAGCATTCTTCTTGCAGTCTCAAAGCATTAAACATTAAAATTACAAACACTACATTAAAATTTCATCAAAATCGGGGCAGCCCTAAAAAGCGAACAAACAGACAGAATCACTTTAAAACTTTTAATATTATTAATTAGTGTACACATTAATAATCATCATAATACTAATTATACGTTTATATTATATACTCGTATATATAATTCCGCTGTCAAAGACACCTTGGCCATACTAAAATTTTGGGCATATATTTGAATATATTATTATGTCATTAGAAATGAGAGTCATAAATAACTATGCAGGTGTCAGTGTACCAAATGCGCCACATGCTACTGTTACTTTTTATTGGCTTTCTAGTGTTAATGAGTGGATGGAGATTTAATTTGTTTAAAATTACAATTAGTTGAACTACTTTACATACGAAATTTTATTTTTTTATGAAGTGCTTAAATTAAAACATGTACCTGAGTGGTATTAGGAAAATCTTGATAACATTTTATTACATAGTTATCAGTTTTTAAATTACGTTTTACCATAAGGCTTGGGTTTTATCTTTTTTTTGATATTATAAATCAAAAAGATCATATTATTTATATTATTGGTAAATATTTAACACCAGAGACAAAATTATTTAGAATCGAGATTTTACACCATTTATGATATCATTTAAAAAATAAGTATATCAAATTTCACCTCAATTGAACAGTACGAGTGATTGGATCAGATACCAGTAAATTAATAAAAAAAGCTTGTAATAAAATTACATAAAACAGACGATACTGTAGAGAACTCTTATAATCAACATTATCTAAAGTGTTATAGAATGCTCTTCAACACTGTAAAACAATAAAAAAAATTTATTAATTAGTCTACAAAGTAAAATTAGCCATATGACTTATATTAGCTAATACTTTTTGTAGCTACCGTATACTCGACGACCCTTTTAATATCCGCTTTTCATACAGTAATTAACCTTTCTGTCAA